TTGCCAAAATCGTAGGCGTTTTTACTGGATACAGTCTAATACGCATTCATGTGGTAGAGCTAAAAATCTTGTCGGACGCTAGTTATCAAAGTTGTATGGTGGACAGTAAGGTGGAAACATCCAGGCACTTTCTCCTTCTCGGCCCGTCTCAACAAATTTCTGATAAGCTCAAGGCGCTTTGTCGATTTATACGGGTCTTATGATCCATTATATTGGATCACAACACATCTATTGGCGCTTTGTGCAGCCGTCGGGTAACACATCGTTTTTTCTTATCTGCCGAAGGGGGCAGTGTGAATTGCCGGCTAAAATAGCTCCAGCTTTTCTTCGGGTCCGGGGAGCCATATCCATCGAATTGAATGGTATGAAGCGAGCAATAGCAACAGCGATCACCTTGCGGTATTGACGCTGGCCAACGATGACGTCCGTAGAAATGGGTAGTGAGGTGAAGGTGCTTTCTTTAAATTCTGTGAAGCTGATCCAGTAAGCTTTGTTAAAGTTAACAAAGGTGCGGTTGTCCACAGAAATATCGAGAAAGATCGAGATAATTATGGGCAAATATTCTGAGGCGAGAGCTAGCATAAATCTGGAGGGGCATCGTCATTCATTGTGCAGATTGTCAAATCGTCAATCTGTTCCGCCAGCTCCTTCGCCCTACTATCGTTTGACAGGCAGGAGTGCCAAAGATCGTGGTGCGCGTTAAAGTCACCTAACACCAAACGGTTTTCACCACGAAGTAGCGCATCTATGTTCAGGATATCACCCGAACTGGGGGAATGTAGATATTAAATATCTCGAGCTCAAAATCGCCTGATTGGACAGTTATACCCTGACATTCAGGTCAGACTAGGAGTCACTTAAGTGTGGTTAAGCGACACCATGAAAGGTTGTTGCGGGGCAGACTCCTACAGTCAGTGGTGCTCATGCTTGAACACTTCGTATGACTTCGTTTGACGAGCGCTCACAACGTACTGAGTCAATCAATCGAAAAACTGTCAAAGAAAAACTTTTAGCTAGTAACACTAGTACTAGGGATAAAAACGCCATCTCCTGAATACAAACCGAACGAACTTTTTACTTGACCTAATATATAAATGTCCAGACATTATTCATACTCCTGCACAATCACCGGATTTGAACGTCAACGAAAATTTATGGTTGATATTAATAGCGGGCGCAAGTTTAGATCAGCGTGGAGTTTGCGTACACAATTGTTCTATGAAATGCCGACCACTGTTTTATATGATCTTTAATATTGAGTGGGAGTTCGACATGTTTGCAATGTGTTTGGTATGTCAGTTCTTGATGGTTCATAATTAAAAACACAATTATGTATATTTTTCATTATTTTGCAATGCTAGTAAAATTAAAAGTAATTGTGTTGTTAGTTACAATATAAGCTTTAGAAAATATTTTGCACCCGACTTTCATATAAAAACGATCAAAAGGAAACCACAGATAGTCCTAACTACACTTGAACTGATAAAGATGAAGATATGTAAAACATACAATAGGGACAGTTTACCATAGTTAATAAACTTTAGTAACTCTCCACACGCATACACTCTCAAAATATTAATTTAAATGTGTAAGTTTGCCGACCACTGATCCAAACTTTTCGTAACTTTCCACCTAGCTTTGGCCAGGTCACGTTTCCGCTGCAGGTGTAATTCCAGTAATATAATAACTGCAGACGCAGAGTCTATCAAAGTTCACTAATGTTGCATATTTCTATTGTCGCAACATTTGCTGTGTCAAGTTATATATTTTATAGTGTAACACTCAATTCAATTGACGGTTCTTTTAAGAGAGCACAAAGAACATTTTTAAACTATTCTTTCTTTCTTTTCTGAACTGAAATAACTGTTGTTTTACTAATATCGGTTATTTTTGCAATTTCGAAGACTGTATTTTTAGTTTGATATAATAAAACGATATGATTTTTCAAATTCTTTGAAATTTTCTTAATTTTTTCAAAGTTTAATTTTTACAAAAATACCACAGCTAAATTGACAATGTACAAACTGTACTCTTTAGTACCATACTTAATAATTACAAACTAAACAAAAACTCGTTGTCTTCTTCCGAAAAACAACAGTTAATCAAATATCAAAATGTACTAAGGTTGTTTCACGTTTAAAGAAATAAATAAGCATTAAAAATTAAAAATTTTAAGAAAATTGAATAATTATTGACTTTTTTAGCCTCCTCGTTGAATTTTGAGTATTGCTCGACACTGTATGTGTATGCTCTTTAAGATCATACTTTTGATATGTGTGTATACTTCAAAATGTATATATTTTTAATTTTACAGGGATAAGAATAAATAAAACAAATGGATTTATGTTTCATTTTTTGTACTCTTAGAGTTTTTTTCAATTAACGCTAGGTGTGTCAAAAAATAATGGGAATTTTTTAGTTGAAAAGATATCTTCACCAAATTTGGCATAGGTTGTACAAGAGAACGTTAGTGTCCGTAGACCACTATAGCATATAGCTGCCATACATACTGACCGGTCAAAACCAAGTTCTTGAATGAAATCTTTTATATTTGTGAAATGTATTGTAGTTTTGGTCCAACCGAATTTAACGTTTTCCTTCCTTTTAAACTCGTATTCACTACCCCGTCATGTTAAAAACAGCAGAAACGTAATGTTAATGACTTTGGCAGTTCAAACGGAATCATGTAAATAAACTAATTATAATTTCTGAATAGATTTACAAATAATCTCACAAAAAATTCTTCATTTGGTGAATTTGTATAACATACATGTGCCCGCCCAGTTACAGAATTTATAATATAACAGCATTAATATTTTTAACAGTACTTGTGTTTTAGAATGATGTACATTGCTTATGTTTTCAATTTTATTTTTCATATAAATCTCCTGTGGTAGAATTTTTTTTTAAACAAGTTTTATTAATGAAGTACTGTTGTATTTCTTTCCAAATAAATTTATTTAATTACTAATCAAAATTTACTGCCTAATTGTCAAGTGTTTAACTGTGGTTTTATTTATGTTTCAGTTAACATTCAAAGCTTTCTTATGATTAGAAATTACGCCAAAGGCGTGTTTTGACGAATTTACGGATGAAGTAGTGAAACATAAATAAGGTATTAAAATATTTTAATCGATGTAGGGTGATCATGTCATGTCAGCTTAATAATTGTATGTATGTATATATTGTACCGATGATAACTATATTGTGCGTTTATTGTCGAAATTTGAGGCTTTGCCTATGACGAAAGCTTAGGCGGTTGACCGCACCTCGGCTTGATTTGTATACTTTTCTGAGATTACGATTCCCAATTATTGTTTGAACTGTTGACTTTAAACATATTTAGAGATTGTTTGTCTTTGCGGTAATTAATAACTGGTTGCCGTATTTCAATACTAATTTCGTTACTCGGTTTAAAAAATAGCACCGCGAAAATATTTTCAAATAAAGACGCTTGAGGTAGTTGGAAGCACTGCTGGTATACAGAGTTGCATTTTATTCATATTCTAAAATTGTCGTATGTAGAAGTTTCTGTGTTTTGAAAAATATTTTTAAGAATTATTTTAAAAAAATATATAAAATTAAAAAAGAAATTGGTCACAATAACTTTTTTCTCTTAATAAGAGTTTGTTTAGTATGTCTTTTGTTGTTTCATTGTGCATAGATGGTTCAGAACTGGAATTTTCAGGGGGGGTAGACTTTATTGTGCGACTCTATATAGTGCCAATTAATGTTAATGCCAATTGTGGTACATTTATTTTCGTTTTTCTTAATAAACAATCAATCTGTAAATTAAGCGTCATAGACACACGTACAAATATGCAGCCCATACCATGTTCAGCTAATCACTTAAGATATTTTACTAATTTATCGCGTTAGTTTTGTTCTACTCGTATATTTATATATGTATGTAGGTAGTATATGAATCCGATATTCCTTTTATTTTGCAATTTTTGGCCTTCTTTATTTATATTACTAATAAATTAGAGCCTATTAAAAATAATCCTACTTAAATGGGACAACTTTTATACTGCATACGTATAAATATGAACAATACAATTAAATTTAAAAAATGTTTACGTATTGTAATGTGCATAGGTGTATTTTGCGTTGCATATTGTACACAATTATGGGCAAATCATCAATAAGTTTATGTACAATATATATTTAACCCTACTGCAGTAAGAATCTATCCAAGCTAATAGATAAAGAAAAGCAAAAAATCAATAGACAACAACTGTTGCATGTACAGTATAAAATGCATGCAATGCGCATGGCTGATATACATTAAACATATTGTAATATTACATATCGACATTATATTATAAAACAGAATTATTTACAGAAAACTAAACAAAAACTGTGTCAATCCATGTTAAGCCAAATACAGTTTTATGTAAGTTTATTTAATATGTACTGATTTTTTTCGTACACCAGGATGAGGATTTGAATTTGGTTTACAATTTCCCTAGTAGAGTTGCGCACGACCAAATAAAGTTTATATAGTAAACAATAAACACTTTCCAGTTCATTTTCGCATTAATATTTTATGTGTGTTTGTTTTCTCTTTCATCTATATTTTCAAAAGCCGTTTTAATTGCATTTTATGCTTTTACTAATACATTAAACGCATACGTAGACTGATAAATATGGACTAGCTGAGAAATTTGCGGTTTATAAAAAATCATATATATACTTATGTATATTACATCGTCGTTGTGTCTCCTATTGTTTAAAAAAAAAAGCACAAAATTTAGAACTTTCTTTATAGATATGGCATCTCAACAGGGATACTAACCAAAATGGCATCAGCCCCTTTATCTGGCCTGCTATTTGTTATACATATATATATATTTTTTTTTTCTTTTTTAACTACCCCATTTTATTTATGAAGACAGCGACTTTATCTTAACGTCACCTTTTCATTATGCATTTGCTTTTCAATTTACTCATCAACATTCTCATTCTATTATACTCATTCGTTTATTTCTATATATTACCTTTATAAATTCGAAACGTCAATAATTTTTTCCAAAATTTGATTTTAAAATGTCCAATACTTCTCTAATTCGGTCAATAATTGGGGTAATTTTCACTCAAATTTCATAGCACTTAATATTTAAAATAACTTGTAATTTGAAAGTCCGAATAAGCCCATATTTATAGGCAGGTAGTACATGTATTTAGGATATAAGACAGTGTAAGAAGATACATACATATATTTGCTTAACAACTTTTCTGGGTTAATTGCTGTTTTTTAGTTTGTTTTAGTTAACAGTTGTAATACTTATTTAAAAAATATTACAAACTTTTATATTTGACACTTGTTTTAAATAAACTAATAAGTTTTTATTCCAGATAAGACTTTTCAGACTTCTTTAGATAAAATTTTCTTTAGTCACTGAATTGGAATTTTTTATACGCTATAAGTGCGTATTAACAACGACCACGTCGGCGGTATGTAGGAGTTCTCGTACTATACTTGGTTACGCTTGTTGATTGTTCTTCCGTTAGGAGAGCAAACGAATCAAATACTAAAATGTTCGATATGATACACTCCTGTATCGGTTGGTTGCCAATTATTATTCTTCGCCTTTTAGCCGACCCACAAACCTCCGAAGACTAAAATTTAGAAGATTTCCCTTATAACGTGCTAAAAAGTATTTATAAAGAGAGCGTGAGAAAAGGGAATTCCAAAAAACACATTACTCTCAGGCAAGCGCACTTCGTAGAAAGGCAAGAGATATATATTAAAAAATGTGAAGCGCTAACGCGCATGCTCTTGTTTAGATATTCCGCTTCTAGGCTGAATTATTTTTCGTCATATACATCGTGCATACACATATATATATGGATATATGATTTTATATATATTATAGAACGTATTCAACTATAAACTGAGCACAACGGCCACTGGACGAGGCAAGATAGACAGGCGAGTTGACTATCTTATAGTTTAGTAAAGATGTTGGCCAAAACTAGAGGGTACTGCACTATTCGTTTAACACAAAAAATATATCTGAAAGAAGAAAAATACGCATGGTCAAAATGGAGATGGTTACAATACACTTTGTACCATATCTTGTTCAAATTCAGGCACACATTAATCACAAATCGTGTTTCGGGTTAAGTTACAATAGGAGGAAAAACTAAAATCAGTTATCCTCACTACCAACGTTGTAGCATAAATGTAGGTACTTCGCCAGTTGCATTCACTGGAAAAGTTTCGCAGCGGGAATATACATACATACATATAATTTCTGATGTATGAAAACCGTAAAAACGAAAACATCCCTTCACTCAAATGTTAGAATAAAGACAACCTTTATCATAAATATTAAATTCAAACGATGAAGGCTTGAGATTATTGGTGAATTCCGGATGCGATACATATAAAATAATAAGTAATAAACAAATCGTTTGAAATTTGATTTCGCATTAATAATGCTATTATTTTAATTGCTATACATCTATGATTCGGAATTCAATTAACTTGTACCAATTATATAAATGTATGTACATATATTTTGGGAATAACAATACGACTTGTTTTCGCCTTTCTGTCTGTCTGCATGTGTATACGAGCTATGTATATGCTATAGTGATCTCATCAAAATGTGTTCGAAGATTGTGCCGTTGCCTTGGATAATAATTCACGCCAAATTTTGTGAAGATTTCTCGTCAAATGTAAAAGTTTTCTTACAAGTACTGGATTTTGATATGATCTAAAAAATGTGTTATGGTGTTGCTCTAGATAATGAAATAATTTACTTTAGATAATAAATTTCGAGAAGATACCTTGTCAAATAAAAAAGTTTTATTTCCAAGAATTTTATTTAGAACGTTCAGTTTGTATGACAGCTATGTGCTATAATGGTCCAAAAAAAAGAAAAATTCAGAGCGATATCTCAAAAAAAGGGACTAGTTCGCGTATATACAGACAGACGGACAGATGGACATGGCTAAATACACTAAGGTCGTATCGCTGATTATTTATATATATATATATTATATGGGGTCTCCGTTGTTACAAACTTCGTGCAAACTTAATATATTCTATTCACGGTATAAAAATGATTTCCTCTCGAGTACCTCATGGTACCTAGACGCGGTTAAATTTTCGCTTTTTATAAATTGTATTTCCACTTTGATAAAATACATAAAATATTTTATGTAGGCCAGGATTTTCAAACAATGAATACAAATTATTTGACTTGAAGTTTTTTTCCAAATATCTATCAAAAGTCCAATTTTTGGTATATTCATTTAATAATAGTTCATTCTGTGCATTTAAGCTTACAGATTAAAACGCCTTTATTATTATTTTTTGTTTCGGATAAGCCAATCAGCCGTGTGTTCAGAACACTGTAACTCAGGATTTACACAATATTTATAGCTTAAAATTTAAATTTATACTGTCGAAATAGGTCGAAATTTTGAACCGATTGTTTACAGGGGAAAAGTATGAACCGCGATCATATAATTATGGGACAAAATTTATAAACCAAATCGTGCTTCTGATCAAGTTCATCAGTACAAATAGTTTTATATCAGCAACTTCCGAGACGTCATCCAAAAACCCTCGAGCCTTTCATTCGCATGGAAGATGTTTTACAGTCTCCTCTTCTCCTACCTCCTGACAACTTCTACAATAGTCATTGTATGGTGCAGCTCGTCTGCTGGTATGTCTACCAAGTGACAGTGACCTGTTAGCACTCCTATTAGAGTTCTTATGTCATCACCAATCCCTCTCGATTATCTAATTTGGACCCATCCTTATAGATCCCTGTCAACCTCGCCATTTTCCCACTCTCTCTGGAATTTAGTTTCAATTCCATAGGATTTCGAAAATGTATGGTAGTGGGTAGAAACGGGACATTACTAAGTATCTTAGAATACCCCTTATTACAGGAAATTAATCAGAGGATTCCCTCAGTCTAAGAGCTGACATCGTTGCCAGTTGCTTACAGACTGTTGGCAGTAAATGTAAAATGACGTTTAGTACCTGACTTGGCGTTATTCTAAAAGCTCCACGGATGCATATACTGGCTGCTCTTTGTACATATGTTTTCCATACGCCTCATCGCGTATTTCTTTTTCATTATTGGCCAATATACCAACATACCGTATGTCGTGATCGGTCTAACAACTACTGTGTAGAGCCAATGAGCTACCCGAGGAGTTAACCCCCATTTGGCGACCACAATCTTTTTGCAGGTGTAAAGTGCTGTAGCACTCTCCCTAGCAGCTAAGTTTGTTTTCTATTAAAGCTTTCTGTCTAAACTTAGTCCTAAGTAGCTTCCTTTATCTCTAATTGTTAGCCTGGTACAATTTAATAATGGCTCCATAACTTTTGGAATACTGTGTTTCCTAGTGAACAATACTAGCCCCGTTTTGCTAGCATTTAAGTTTAGGTTTGCGGGGGTAATTGGGAATTTACCTCTAACCGAAACCGGCACAACAGTACGCCCTTCTTTTGTAGATCTAACAGCAATTTTTTCATTGTTAGTATTCAGAGAAATGGGGATAACACGCCTTAAGGAGTATCTCTTTGGACAGATCTGCAAATCATTGTAGCTCCCAGCGTTGAAATTATTGACCTGCTCGTGAGCTTCTGTTCAGAGATGTCCACATCTTTAAGCGCGCTCAGTATGGATATTATTGAAAGCACCTTCTATATTTAAACGGGCTACGAGGGTGTATTCTTTTATCTCCATAGAGATGTCCAAATCTTTAAGCACGCTCAGTATGACCCTAGGCTGAATATTATTGAAAGCACCTTCTATATTTTAGAAGGCTACGAGGGTATATTTTTTATCTCCCTAGATTTTTCAATCCTTGCTACCACTGAGCTTAGTGCTGTTTTCGTGGATTTTCCTTTAAAATACTCATGCTGTAAAACAGCCAACTTTTCTGTGCTTAGTTTGTTTCTTATGTGTATATCTTAGTCTTTTCAACGTTTTTAGGGAGAATGAGGGGAGACTAATTGGTCTAAAATCCGTTGGACTTGTATGTGAGCTTTTGCCCGCCTCAGTTATGTATATTACCTTGACTTTCCTCCATAACAGAGGAATATAGTTTAACTGCAGCGCCCCTTTAAGAATGGTTACTAGCCAATCTATTATGTAGTTTTGCGACTGCTGTAATTGAGCCAGGAATAATTTGTATATACTTGACTGTATGGCTTTCAGAACTACCTGGGAAGTGGGTATCCCTCAGTAGGCCTAAAGACTCTTCACTGGATATCGCCCAGCTGTGGTCTGGCTTCTGAAGGTATCCAATGCTAGGCACCGATTGTGCAATTATTTTCCTAAGTCGAGACGCCTCCGCCGTATTCGCGATATCATTGCAAAAAGATTTCCAAGAATTTCTTTGCTTTCTTAACCTTTTTTTTTGTATGAACTAAGGAGGTTGTAGTCCCAATCCCAATCTTCCTCGCCTTGGGATAGTTTAACTGCATCTTCCAGTCCGTAAAAGAGTTCAGACGGGGACTCTTTTTTCCTTCATAATCGGCAAATTCTCTTTTGGTGTCGCTCAGTGTGTTTACACAAGCATAATATACTCTATCAGCGTTTTCGCATAGCCAAATTAATTGAATACGTTAAGATTATAATTAAGAAACCAGTTTTAGCTTTTTACACAGCCGGCTATTTGATCATAAACATAGCCAAATTTACAGTGGGGACAACAACCCGTAGAGTTGCATTACAGTTTCAACTTGATTTCCATATATTTGATTAGGAATTAATGTAGTAAATTAAGATTTTTATTATACATGTAAATCGATCTAAATTAGCGCTTTGAGGAAACGCCGGTTAATTGATCAATTTACTCTTGTGCGAAGAGGCTATATGACCTGTAATAGAATGAGTAACGCGAATGTTGCACGAGTACGAAATTGCTTTCAAGTTGCAATACACTTACACTTTTCTACTACCAAACTCTGAATTTTCGAACTAGAACGCCTTCTTAATATGCATTTTTCCAATCCTATCCATGCACTGAACTGTGTAGCAAAACTAAAGCTAAAAAAGTAAAAAATCTGTATATTTTAAAATTGTTTTTTCTCAACCAATCTTTTATTTCCGATCCCATCTTTTCATTAAATTATTTTCTTCGTGCAAAACTATTTCCTTGACGACGACATCGTGAAACTAATAATGAATATCTTTGCTTGCAGCCCACAGTTTAACAACCCAAGATAGATATCGCATAATTCGGTCAGACGCGATTACTTGTGCTAGATAATTTCACAAATTTCTACTGGAGAGTGGAATTTCAACAGAGAGGTTCCCCGCATGTACATGGCATGTATTGGCTTAATAATGATCCCAGGATCAACATTCAAGATCCTCAGACATTCTCAAATGTCATTAGTTTTATTGACAATTATATTTCTACAGATGATTTAATCAGCCACTTATAAAATTATTTGGGTTATTAAAAGCATAACCACAGTCGGGATTGTACTAGGGAAATAAGGGGACAACAATTTTGCCGTTTTGGTATACCATTTCCACCAATGCCTTCAACGCAAATACTGGTACCTCTTACAGAAACAAGTTAAAATTCAGAAAAACACAACGAAAACTTTTTCAAAATTCAAAACGTTATTAATTGAAATATGACCACAGAAGACATTTCAAATTTAAGAGATTTCTTGTCTGATAGTAGAATTAATATATCTTTTGATGACTATTCGTTAGCCTTTCGATTTTATATGAAGGTCAAGAGTTGAACTGTAAACTCAAGAAAATTACATTTAAGTACAAGATCCACAAATTCGCTCTGAAGAGCAAATAAGAAATACTAGAGGTCATAGATCTCGGCGCGAAAGAACGTTATGATGTGCAAGTTCCAAAAACTGTTCAACATAGAACAAGGCGACAAGATCCACAAATTCGCTCTGAAGAGCAATTAAGAAATACTAGAGGTCATAGATCTCGGCGCGAAGACCCCGAGGTTCGATCTGTTGAGCAAGTTTTAAAAACTGTTCAACATAGAACAAGGCGGAAAAATCGACAAATTCGATCTGAAGAGTAAATAAGAAATACTAGGGGTCATAGATCTCGGTGCGAAGACCCCGAGGTTAGACCTGTTGAGCAAGTTGTAAATACTGTTCAACATAGAAGACGGCGAGATCCACAAATTCGCTCTGAAGAGCAAATAAGAAATACTAGAGGTCATAGATCTCGGCGCGAAAGTACGTTATGATGTGCAAGTTGCAAAAACTGTTCAACATAGAACAAGGCGACAAGATCCACAAATTCGCTCTGAAGAGCAAATAAGAAATACTAGAGGTCATAGATCTCGGCGCGAA